TCAAGAACAGTCTCCGTAAAATTATTATACAGGAATATTACAAACTGTCTTGCTTTAGCAAGGATTTAAATAACATTACTGAACCTACCTTTCATATTTCCAAGGATCATCCAAAAGAACCAAACTGTCGCTTTTCACCAAATCTTTAGGCACATCATGGGAACGTGGTTCTCATAAGCCCTGTCAAATCCTAGGAAACCCATGTATAATTAAACTCATCATATCATGTAGCTATCCATTATCGCCGCGAGCAACAGTATTTCCGCAGTCAGTGTACTCAAGTGTTAAGCCAGGAATGCTTACACAATTCCACTTACCCACAAAGCTCTAGACAAAAAAAATATCTACAGGTATTATTTGGCTACAAGAAATTTACAAAACATACGTGCTGTAATACGACCTACGGGTCACCGGATTGATTGTAGAAGGACCCCTTCAATGATAGAAATGACAATATCCATCACAATTATATTGTATTAATACCATATATATTAATATTAATGTATACATTAAGAATCCTCAAAACATCAAGATTTAACAACATCTAATATCACTAAATATAATCACTACTTGAATAACAAAACAGCTTCCATCAACAATATCTCTTATCACATAATAATCACCACACTTCACTGTGAGCATGCTGGAATTTTTTTAATACTCACTGATCTCCACTAGCATCCACCTCAAGTTGTTACTGCCCAGCATAACCATAGAACTTGTTAGATACTAGTTCCCGCATCCTGCGACCAATTAATCTTCTCCCACCAACTGGCTTGAGATGTCCTTAAAAAATTAAATTTAAACAACACATAATACAGGCATTAAATATTGCCAAACAATAGCCTGTGATTTTATGCCATAAATGAGCTAGCCACGCTGGAATGCACACAGTATATTGCCCCAAACCATTTCCCCTTACAAATATGTTTTCACCCCGCCATTATGCTAAGACTAACACTTATCTGTTTGTGAGCTAATATGTTAGAGTTTCAAGCCATCATTGAAGCAACTTATGTCGACTTTTGGCACTTTTTTTGACTAAGCATTCCTTTTAAAATGTCCTTACCATAATCACTGATGTAGGAGCTGCCTGTCAATCATCCATCTATTTTTTTATCAAAATATTTGTTGTGTTTTTTATTCTAACAATACTGTTTATACTTATAACACGTCCGATTATAATGACTTCAAATCAAATCTAATGCATTCACGGCATCGATATTCACGTGCGGATTCTTTTTAAATAAAAATATTTTTTGTTAATAATAGTTTTCAAATTTGTTCTGATCACAATTATGAGTTTCACACAGTTTATTAAAATGACTCGTCGTTACTGAAACAAACGTTCTTTTTTTTATGCCTTCTTAAGAGAGACAGTTACAATCATCACCAGTTGTGTATTAATAAGTAGACCAGGCTCTCACCAGCCAGAGAGGCTCAGATTCATAACTTTGGCACAGTGTATAACAATGTTGTATTATCCAGTAAACTTCTGATACCATAGAACTCATACAATATTTCTAACTGTTTTGTCCCAGCAATATTGTTACCCCTTCTTCATGATTCTTCTCTGTTACAACTCTATCCTCACACAATTAAGTTAAATATATGCCTGTCAAATAATCATGCTCTGACTAGTTATCCCAAGCGTTCCCAAGCCAACGCCCGAGTATCGAGCGAGTTGCCACAAACATGAATAATTCTCATTATATAGATGCTTTCCCGTCAGGCGCGTAGCTACCATAACGCAGATATGTAGTTGCATTACCACATCATTTCACCAACATATTTTTTATTGCAGAGCAGCGAAGAAGAGAGATAGAACGAGACCAGACGAGAGAAATGAGCAAGAGGGCAAGACGACGAGCAGGCGTTTAATTCACACGTCTTATTAAACAAAGTGCCGCAGACGACCCAGCTCGCCCTCACCCTATCGGCAGTGTTCTTATGCTAAACTCACTGGCAAACGAATGAAGAGCAACCCTCCATCACTGCGTCCGTCTCAGACATATATCTAGGATCACTACCTAAACTAGATCTAAAATCCTTAAATAGCTAGCCTTTGCCTATACGGTAGCCTACAGTAATAAAGATACACTGTTAACACTTATAATGACTCGCCCTCCATATAAAAAAAAACAAACTAACATGTTATCCATGGCTATCAGCATCGACCCGCGAGCGTACGTCGGTCGGTGGGTGGCGGGAGAGTCGCCTGAGGGCGGGTGGAGGCTCTAATAGCACAAATCAGTCCCCCCGAGAATGGTGCTGCAAGTTGTCCCATCCATCTCCAATCAACAATCCGCGCCATCACCCTTCTGTGCGTCATAACTCACTCCATTGAGTTGCCTGAAATTCCAGTTATATTTCATGCAGGTGAGAATTCGCTCAGCGGTGAGTAACACATCCTGCATTGCAGGTTGCCAGGCAATAATTTATTATCTTAGAACGTGCTAGTTCACCCCCCAGCATCTATGGGCTGCCCCATGTGTTTTGCCTACCACGCGAGCATCAGGCGTTCATTTACATGCTGCCTAATCCTACAGGTGCTACTCAGGACTCGTGGTACAAACATTCTCTAGCGTTTGGTTTCTCTTCCTTGTGAGGGTGTCCCTTTCTACCTTTGTAGTCTGGACTACGGTACACCTTCCTTTGTGTATACCTCACTTTGTGTACTGCTGCCTCTGCAGCTGCACCTCCATCTAGAGTGCTTACATTTTGTTTCGTGAGCTCTGCTGTTCTAGCTAGCGCAATAGTTTTATCCAGTGTTAGCTCAGGAGTTCTCAATAGCCTTTCTCTCAGGTGCTGGTCTTTTACACCGCATACAAGTTTATCTCGCACTAAGGAGTCAGCCAGATCCCCAAAGTTGCACGTTTGAGATAGCGTCTTCACATCGGTGATAAATTTCTCAAGTGTTTCTTCACCTTGTACATGCATATTAAACTTGAAACGCTCAATAGTCTAGTTTTTCTTCGGTTGACAGTATGTGTCAAATTGTCGGAGAACAATTTCTATCGTTCTGTCTTCCTCCTCCTGATCCCATCTCTGTGTCGTGTAAATGTCGCGACCTTCAGGGCCTATCAGGCATTTCAGCGTTTTTATTTTCTCACTCTCTCCGTGTTCTTTGAGTGCTAATTCAGCATACAGTACAAACTCTTCCCTCCACTTCTTCCAGTCATTTGCAAGACTGGCCCCGGTTTTAGAATTAAATTCTAACTTCGAAGGTGGAGGGAGACGTTGCAGAGCCATAGCTACAGTACTTGCCACACAGTCTATTGTAGTCCTTTGTTCAGGAATCACGAGGCTGTCCGAGTCGGAGCACTCCGGAATTTCACGTGAATTCTTACGGAACACTTACAGTTCAAGCTTCCCACTGTGACTGTTCACAGTTCAGGCACTTCTGACACCATGTTCAAATCTTTAGTTTGATGAGGAGTGTAACTATGCACAGAGTCAATAGCAGATAAGAGTGAGAATGAAACTAACTGTAAACTGGATTTATTACAAATAGCAGAGACATGTTCTATTGTTCCTATATATCGGATCCTCTAAACTTAGTCAGAGTCAACGCTACGCATGAGCGCTATATATTGTTACAATCACGAGCCTAGGTCGAGCCGTTTAGATTTGTGCCGCAATTCTGCATTTCGTCCCAATACCTTAAGTTAAGGAGAGAATGTTCCCCCTTCTTTTACACCTCTCGACCTTTGACCTTTGACCCCCAGCTTCGACATCCCAACTCGTTTTCGGATTACCCCCCCACGTCCCGACTTTCGAATCCATACGTCGAGCCGTTTAGATTTGTGCCCAACTGTTGATGGACGCACGCACGGACGCACGGACGGACGATCATGCGATTCTACAAGCTGCATCTGACTAAGTCAGATGAGCTAAAAACGAAAATTACATGATTAGTTATAGTGATCTTTAGTGATCAAATCTTGTTGCTCATGAAGAGAATAGTTCTACTAAAAAGATAATTGTCGTAGTCAGAATGAAAGCTGTACATTTACTCAAAAATGCCTCAAATACCATCTCCTGCGATCTACATTTTCAAAATTTTATGGGGGAGGACCCGCAGACCCCCCCATCTGTGTGCGACTGTGCGTATACATCCATTTCACCCTAGATACGCCCCTGCCGTCATATTGATAAGCACAGAGGTTGAAATTGTCTAGAACATATTATGTAGGCTGCTATACGAAAGAGAATAATTTATACCTCATGGCTCTTGGCATGTGAACTACCTGACAGACCACTGCAGATGAGGACTGTGTTAGTGCCTTCCTCGTTCAACTTGCCCCACGTCTCGTAAGCAACGGTCAACTCTGGAAGAATCCCTCCACTATATTTCATGTAAAATGGCTCGGTAGTTGTGCAAGTCTTAAATCCGGACACGACTTGGTCATACTCTGGTTCTGGACCAGATCTGACGCTGTATGCAGTGGGATAAAGAAATGACAGTATTTATAACTAACGTCAGTAATTTGTGAAGTAATATATAGAATGGCAGTTTGACTTAAAGGCATACTATGCCCATTGATTATGCAATGTTGACGAATGCTAGAGTAACTGGCACCTTGTGTAGTTAATAAGTACATAACCTTATTAACACAACAAGTATGCCAACATGCTAATGCACAATCAGTGTATTTGCTTTCTTCATAAAAGCGAATATCTCAGTTTGTGCATACACTGACAGGCACAAACTGATGTAAGGAATATTCTCCGTAAAATATTATAACAGGGAATATTACAAATGTCTTGTTAGCAAGGATTAAATAACATTACTGACCTACCTTTTCTATTCCAAGGTGATCCAAAAGAACAAACTGTGCTTTGACCAAATCTTCTAGGCACATGATGGGAAACGTGGTTCCATAAGGCTGAAATCCAGGAAAACCCATGTATAATTAAACTCACATATCATGTAGGATCATTACCGGCGAGCAACAGTATTTCCGAGTCAGTTTACTCAAGTTGTTAAGCCAGGAATGCTTTAACAATTCACTACCCACAAAGCTTCTAGACAAAAAAAATATCTACAGGTATTTATTTGTACAAGAAATTACAAAACAACGTGCTTGTAAACGTACCTTACGGGTCACCGGATTGATTGTAGAAGGACCCCTTCAATGATAAGAAAGACAATATCCATGACAATTATATTGTATTTAATTACCATATAATATTAATATTATGTATACATAAGAATCCTCAAACATCAAGATTAAAACATCTATATATCACTAAATAGTAATCACTACTTGAGATTAAAACAGTTCCATCAACAATAGTCTTATTCAACAAATAAACCACACTTCACTGTGAGCATGCTGGAATTTTTTTAATACTCACGATGTCCCATAGCATCCACCCAAGTTGTTACTGCAGATAACATAGAACTTGTTAGTATCTATTGCGCATCCTGGACCAATGAACTTCTCCCACCAACCTGGGTTGAGATTGTCCTTAAAAAATAAATAATACATAATAAAACATAAATAATACATAATAAAATAAATAAACACATAATACAGTCATAAAAATGCAAACAATAGCTGGTATTTTATGCATAAATGAGTAGCTGCACTGCTGGAATTGCACACAGTATATGCCCCAAACCTCCATTTCGCTAAAATATGTTTTCACCCTCCATTATGGCAAGACTGAACACGATCTGTTTGTGATGCGTGGTATGCTAGAGTTTCAACGCACATTGAAGCAATATGTCGACTTTGTGGCACTTTTTGACTAAGCATTGCTTTTAAAATGTCCTACCATAACACTGATTGGTAGGAGCTGCCTGTCAATCATTCCACTATTTTTTTATCAAATATTTTGTTTTGTTTTTTGTATTCTAACAATACTTGTTTTATACTTATAACAGCCGATATAATGACTTCAAAGTCAAATCAATGCATTCACGGATCGATATCACGTTGGGATTTTTTTTATTAAAAAAGATTTTTTTTTAATAATAGTTTTCAAATTTTTGTTTCCGATCACAATATAGTTTCGACACAGCGGTTTAAAATGGACTCGGTCGGGTTACTGGAAACAAACGTCTTTTTTTTAGGCCTTCTTAAGAGAGACAAGTGACAGACATCACCAGTTGTGTATTATAAGGTGAGACCAGGCTCTCACAGCCAGAGAGGCAGATTCATAACTTGGCACAGTTGTATAACAATGTTGTATATCCAGAAGCTTTGACTACATAGAATCATAGAATCTCTCTAACTGTTTTTGTCAGAATATTGTTTACCCCTTCTTCATGATTCGTTTTCTCTGTTACAACTCTATCCTCAGAATTAAGTAAATATATGTGTCAAAATATGCTCTACTAGTTGATTCTAAGCGTTTTTCCCAAGCAACGCCGAGTATCCGAGCGAGTTGCACAAACATGAATATGTCTATTATATAGATGTTTCCCGTTCAGGCGCGTAGCTACCATAACGCAGATATGTAGTTCCATACACATCATTTCACCAAACATATTTTTTTATTGCAGAGAGCGAGAGAGAGAGAGAGAGGAGATTTGTATAATATTTTTGTAGCACGCTTTTGCAATATTTATGCGAGCGTGTCGCAGCTTTTGAAAGTTAACTTCCGTTCGACTCGACTTCCACGTCCAAGGCTGCAAAGACTTTCTCTCTGATCTGCCCGCCTTGTATTTTGTTTAATTTGTCTAGATTAACAGGTTCGTCGTGATCTTTGCGATGGTTGTTCATGTTTGAACAACAGAGGAGCTCATGAATAATTTCTCCGCATCGTGAATCATCTTCTCCGTGACTACGTTGATACTCGCCGCTGTCTCGCCACCTTTTACACTATTTTCCATGCGAGGCTGTTTGGTTTCTCCCCCTTGTTGGGGGCAGACTTTCATCATAGTTTTATTTTTTGGTTTTGCCTCGAAGTGGTTCGGTGTTGTGGGCATTTTCTCGCAGCATTCTGTCCACTAGGCAGGACTCTGCTCGTTTTCAGTAAGTTGTAGTTCTGTGTCCACAGTAACAGACATTCTCTTAAGCGTTTGCGTTTCTCTTCCTTTGAGGGTGTCCCTTTTCTACCTATTTGTTAAGTCTGGGTACATCGGTAACAACGCTTTTTTCTTTGTAGTTACTCCTTTTCATGCACTTTAGTGTAGTGCTGCACTTGCCATTTCTGCCAAGGGTTTCTGCACGCTCCATCTAGAGTGCTTACATTTTGTTTCGTGAGCTCGTGCTGTTCTACGCCTAGCGGAGGCAATAGTTTTAATCCAGTGTTAGTCTCAGGGGGGTTGGTAGTTCTCATAGCCTTTCTGCTCTAGGTGGGCTGGTCTTTTACACACGCATATCCAATTTATCTCTTCTTGCAGCCTAGAGCGTAGTCAGCGACCCCCAAAGTTGCACGTTTCCGGAGAAGCGGTCTTTCACATCGGTGCCGATTATAATTACCTCAAGTGTTGTTCTTCACCTTGTACCATGGGCATATAAAGCCCTTGAAACGGGTCTCATAGTCTAAGTGTTTTATCTTTTCGGTTGACATAGTATGTTGTCAAATTGTCAGGATGAACAATTTCTTATTCTGTTCTGTCTTTCCTCCTGCCTGGACCATTTCCTCCTCGTGTCCGTGTAATATGTGCCGTAACTTCAGGGCTCCTTATTCAAGCCATTTCAGAGGCGTTTTTATTTCTCACTCTCTCGCGTGTTCTTTGAGTGGCTTCAAATTCAGCATACAGTAGCATAACTCTTCCGTCCACTTCTTCCAGTCATTTGGCAATGCCCCTGGCCCCTCGTTTGTCGGTTTTAGAATTAAAATTCATAACTTCGAAGGTGGAGGGAGAGCGTTAGCAGAGCATAGCTAGCAAGTACTTGCGCACACAGATCTATTGTAGTCCTTTGTTCAGGAATCAACGAGCCTGTCGGCGAGCGAGAGCATCCAGGCGGAATTTCACGTGAATTCTTACGGAACTACTTACAGTTCAAGCTTCCCAGCTGTGACTGTTTCACAGTTCAGGCCACTTTCTGACACCATGTTCAAATTCTTTAGTTTGATGGTGAGTGTAAACTATGCACAGAGTCAAATAGCGAGATAAGAGTGAGAATGAAAACTAAACTGTAAACTGGATTTATTACTAATGGCGGAGACGATTTCTATTGTTTCCATATATATCGGATCCTCTAAAACCTTAGCAGAGTCAACGCTATCGCATTGAGCGGGCTATATATATGTTTACAATCACGAAGGCCTAGTCGAGCCGTTTAGATTTGTGCCGCAATTCAGGCCATTCGTCACAATCACCGTTAAGTTAAGGAGAGAAATGTTTCCCCCTTCTTTTACACCTCTCGACCTTTGAACGCTTTGACCCCCAGCTTCGACATCCCAAGCTCGTTTTCGGATTACCATCCACGTCCCGACTTCGAATCCATACCGTCGAGCGCGTTTAATTTGTGCCCAACTGTTTGATGGACGTTCTATTACGCACCGGATCGCGACGGACGGAACGATGCAATGCGATTCTACTAAGCTGGGCATCTGACTAAGTCAGATGAGGCTAAAAAACGAAAATTACAATTTGATTAGTTATAGTGATCTTTAGGTGATCAAGATCTTGTTGCTTACCATGAAGAGCAATAGTTCTACTAAAAAGATAATAATTGTCGTAGTCAAGAAATGAAAGCTGTACATTGTTACTCAAAATGCCTCATAAATACATCTCCTGCGATCTTACATTTTTCAAAATTTTATGGGGGAGGACCCGGCAGACTCCCCCCATGCTGTGTGCGACTGTGGCGTGATACATCCATTTCAATCACCTAGATACGCCCCTGCCGTCAATATTCGATAAGGCAGCAGAGGGTTGAAATTGTCTAGAACATATTATGTAAGGCTGCTATACAGCGAAAGAGAATAATTTATACCTCATGGCTCTTTGCATGTTGAACTACCTGACAGAGCCACTGCAGATGATGACTGTGTTAGTGCCCTTCCTCGGCTTCAACCTTGCCCCCGCTCTCGCTAAGCAACGGTCAACTCTGGAAGAATCCCTCCACTATATTTTCATGTTAAATGGCCTCGGTAGTTTGCAAGTCTTTAAATCCGGACACGACTTGGTCAGTACTCTGGTTCTCGGACGCAGATCTTGACGCCTGTATGCAGTGCCGATAAAGAAATGACAGTATTTATAACTAAGCGTCAGTAATTTGTGAAGTAATATATAGAATGGGCAGATTTGACTTAAGGGCATACTATGCCCATTGATTATGCAATGCTTGACGAATGCATAGCAGTAACTGGCACCTTGTGTAGTTAACTAAGGTACATAACCTTACATCCAAACGCAATATCTAGTTGTACAATAATCACTGCCCTGTTACTAAGAACATGTAATTGAAATCTGGGCAGTCCAAAAGAAATCAGTTGGTTTACAGTTTCAAACCGCTGGCCGT